TATATGTATGTATGTATATATGTTGAACGTTTATAGAAGTGTCCTTTGGAATGTAAAGAGAGGCATTCTACATCACATTTTACTCAAACTCTCAGTACTAGACCAACTTTGTCCCCAAATCTGTTACATCTGTTCCAACTTAAGCCTCTGTTTCTAATCCCTCCCACCCTGATCCTTGTTTCCTCGGCTGAATCTAATAAAGCCGTTTGTTTCCGATCATTGATGGTTAAAGTTGATTTGCTGTATGACTCTAAAGTGGATTATCTCTTTTTTTTCTCCTCTTTTTTTCCTGTCTTGAAGGAGACAATATATATTAGTGAGAAAAACAAAGTGATGAGTGGTGTCCTTAAATGTGAAAAATATCCAGGCGCTCTGAGACAGATAGGCACACACACAAAAAAAACATCATTGCCCTTCAAGGTAGAAAGCAATGGTATGTTTATTGCCAGCAGTATACACACATGTATACATACATACACACACACACACATATCTTTGATCTTACGGAAACAGCAGGATGATGAAAATAACAAGGGGAATTACTAAAACGATGTATCTAGGACTCTGAAAATTGTTGGATTGTATACCTGGATTATTGAGCATGAACTTTGTTGGATTTGAACCAGTTTGGCATGGCTGTCGATGAGGGAAAGGGCCGGCAACGGAGGAGGGTTGTGCCAAAGACACCATCTTAGCACCAACATAACTGGTTTGTTCCACTTTGGAGTAAACTGTTGGGGGAAGAATCTGTTTTGTGTTGTGTGTTTCCTTGACTGATGAAGCCTTCTGGATGGAAGGTGAAACATTTCAGCACAAAAAAAAAAAAAAAAAAAAAGAAACTGTCCAGATGACCTGACTGAAAATTGTTGGATTGTATAACTGGATTATTGAGCATGGATTTTGTTGGTCTCTATGACAAGTAAAAATTGAGACTCATTAAGCCATTCAAATCTATGCTGGATATGTGCTATTTGTCACAGTTTAGTCAAAGTGTCTGAAAGCTTTAAGAACCATTATATTTTATAAGTTATGTAGACTTGCAGTAGCATTTATTATTTTGCTTTGCATAAACTAGTTACAAATACCATCCTTGCTGCAAGTCCTATGAACAAGTTTTCACCGAAGCATAAATTGTTAAAAACAACTATACGAGTCCCTACTGTGTACAATGACTTTGAACTCAACAGAGCCTTAGTTGCCAGGTTTAAATATATTGTCCTTTTGGTTTTAGGTTTATATTTTATTTGAGTAAATATTGTGTTGTTGTTTTTTACTGCCCAACTGGTTTCCAAAAATGGGCCACAGTAACCATAAACTATTGTATTGAAAATGTAGAAACCACACCAAACAAATCAACCTGGTAACACTTTTACTGACTTGAGTTTAGTGACTTGAATTGTCAAGCATGCAATGGCAATATGCCAATAATGTGTACAATGTTTCATTTTTTTTTTGTCTTTTTTTTTTCTGGATGTATTTTGCCAGACGCTTGGTGGATTTATTGCATGGAGCTTTTCAAGATATGTAAAATAAAAAGTACCTTAAATGTATGTAGGACAGCAGCTCACATCTCATGCTTCCTGTGAAGATGCATCTTGTTCCTTTGAAGTCAACATTTTGGCTTTAACCCTATACCTCCCTGCTCTTCCCTTTAGGTTTCTAGTAAAAAGCTGGCCTCAAGCTGTGTGCAGCTGCTCCGCAGGGCCTGACGACATGTTGCAAACTTC